CGGATCTGCTGCCACGTCACTTCACCTTGGTTTAATAAACGCTTCCGCTTATCCATTCAATTGCTGGTCCTCGCAGTAGTGTTGCTACCAAATTAATTATGTTTCTGCCAATGGCCGTGAAATAAATCGCGATGGCCGCGAAATAAATTGCCAAAAGCCAGCGCTTAGCGTTGTCAGTAGATCTGCACTGTGGATGCCCGATTGATCCTGGAGAGGGTTACAGGCGCGTTCGCCTGGGGGGTTATGGGCGCACTGACCCGCTACTGAAACAAGCCCTTTTATCCCAATGGTCTAGTGGTTGGGATTCTGACATGGTATCAGAGCGGTCTCGGGTTCGATTCCCGGTGTATGCACATGTAGGCCGGTGCCGCTGTGCTTAGTCCTGGGCCTCCCAGTGTGGGGGGGTGTCGGTAGATCTGCATTGTGGATGCCCGATTGATCCAGGAGAGGGTTACAGGCAAGTTCGCCTTGGGGGTTATGGGCGCACTGACGCGCTACTGAAACAAGCCCTTTTATCCCAATGGTCTAGTGGTTGGGATTCTGACAAGCGTCATTTTCCCCATCAAGGTATTGGGGGCTAGAAATTCTTGGGCCTGGAGAAATTTTCGCGACTGCTACGAGATCACGATCGATTCTGCTTTTGCCGCAATTTTTGTCATGACGCGCGCTGTCACCCAAGGTCGTTAGATCCGTTGCGCGTCGGTCTCACTACTTCTGAACCGCTCGATAAAGGTCCCAACAATTTGCGATTGTCGTCGCTATATCACAAACAATTTCGCCAACAATTGAACTCGCAATCCTGTTCAAACAACTGCTCCGAGGAGAGGTCGCGTCCAGGTGTAGCACCCTCAAGCCCAGCACCGCAAGGCTCAGCACCCCCAGTCACCGCACCCCCAGGCTCAGTACCCCCAGGCTCAGTACCCCCAGTGTCCTCACCCCCAGGCTCAGCACCCCCAGAGTCCGCACCCCCAGGCTCAGCACCCCCAGAGTCAGCACCCCCAGGCTCAGCACCCCCAGTCTCCGCACCCCCAGGCTCAGCACCCCCAGCAGGACGAGAGTCGAAAGCAACCTCAACAGGCTCGACCGGGTCTACCTGAGACACACCTGAGGGAGCGGCACCCTGAGGGGGGAGGGGGTCTACGACAGCAGCACCTGGCGCGAGGAAGAGACGCGGGGGTGGGAGCGGGGCAGTGCGGTAGGGGAAGAGGCGGTAGTACGGGACAGACTCGTCAAAAGTGACGTCCTGAGAGGGCAAGACCCGACGCGAGGTGGCGTGGTAAAACTGCCAACCAGGTGCGTCCGGAACAAAGCCGAGGAAGACGCAGGGAAAAGCACGAGAGGAGAGCTTGTCCGCAGACGAATCGCGGACAAAAGCTTGAGATCCCCAGACCCGGAAACGCGACGCATCGCCAACCTCCCCCGTCCACAGCAGTGTGGGCGAGGTCTCTGGCAAGGAGACACGGGGCCAGAGGTTGAGCTGATGCGCAGCGTACCGGACCGCAAACGGCCACAGAAAGTGGGGGGCAGCCGCATGGATCAAGGAGGTACGAGCGACCTCCATGACCAGGCCAATGCGGCGCTCCGCAACCCCATTCTGCTGTGGAGAGGCCGGAAGCGTGAACGACTGCTCAATGCCGTGCTCAGCACAGTAGGCTGCCAAGAGGTCGGAGGAGAACTCACCACCTCTGTCAGAGTGCAAGCGCAGGACAGGAAAGTCCGAGCGGAAACGCTCGCTGAGCTGGAGACGAGCTCTGCGGATCCAAGGGATCAAAACATCAGGGACCTCACCCTTGGCTCGCAAGGGGAAGACCGTGGTGTAGCGCGAGTAGTCGTCAACAACGATCAGGAAGTACCTCTCCCGAACCTGACCACGGACGCGGGCTGGGCCCCACACGTCCATGTGGAGCGTCTGCAAAGGAGCAGTCGTCGGGGGAAACGAGGAGGAGTGAGGAGCGGCGCGCTGTCGCCCCTCGACACAGGGAAGACAGGGAGGAGCAGGCGAGGGTGGGAGGGGAGGGAGGACCCTGGGAAGACCAGAGACAAGGTACCGGGAGTGCATGGCACGAAGGCGCTGCACAGACGGGTGGCCCAGTCGGTGGTGCCAGAGGACAGTCTCGTGCGCTAGAGAGCGACACAAGCAGGGGGCGGACAGCTGACCTGACGCAGACGCAGACGCAGACGCAGCGACCTGAGGGGGGGCAGTAGTCAGTGTGTAGAGATCCGACCCCGGCTGCCGGGTGAAGGTAGCCAAGTGGCGGCCTGTACGGGCACACGTGCAGTGTGTGACACGCTCGTAGGCAGAGGTGAACTGGTGAACACCCGCGTCCTGTAGTACACAACCTGCCACCAAGTTCGTAGAGAACGAGGGGAGGTGGAGACCTGAGAGTGTGCCCGACGGGACCGAGGCAGACGCAGTCCCGACCTTCTCAGCACCAAGGAGGTTGTCAGCAGCAGCAGAGGCGACTAGAGGGAAGAAGGGGGGAGGGAGAACATCCCTCAAAGAACGGGGTACGGGGGTCACCGCGAGAGGCACCTACAGCGACTATGCTAGCCTCAGCTGCAAGCAGTTCCTTCTCGAGGAGGGCAATGGTGAGCTCGGTGGGGCAGCGCGCTAGGAAGTGGTCCCTGACTGAGCGCAGAGTGTCAGGGAGGCGCGTGACTAGGTGGTAGAGTGTGAGCCAGAGCGGGGGTGGGTTCTTGGCAAGGAACTCATCAGGCATAGCGGCGCGGAAGCGAGCCTCACTAGTGCGGAGGTGGGTAATGAGATCAGCGACAGTGTGGAAGGAAGCTAGGTCGGGGAACAGGTAGGGAAGAGAGAGACGGCCTAGAGCAGCAGAGGCCGGCGAGGAGTAGCGGGCAACGATAGCAGTGTACAGTGCCTGTGCAGTCTTGTGCTGCCCAAAGTGCTCGCGCTCATCTATCGGCAGAGAGTTGCGAATAGCGAAGCGAGTATGGGCGTCACAAGTCTGCCACTGTGAGCGGGCAGTGCTGTCAGCAGTAGCAGCAGGAGCAGTAGCGTGGCCTAAGGCATGATCGTACAGCGAGATGTCTTCCTTGGCAGTGAGCTGTAGGAAGAGGTGTAGGTCATCAAGCTAGGTGTCGAACTTCACTGGGTGGCCCTCAGTATCGAAGGCTAGGACAGGAGGGCTAGCCATGGTAGCAGCATTAGGAAAAGCAGTAGGAGCAGTAGGGTAGGTAGGGCGGCGCGGCTCGGTACAGGTAGGGCGGCGCGGCTCGGTATAGGTAGGGCGGCGCGGCTCGGGTCGCGCGGCGCGGCTCGGTTCGGGCGGCTCGGGTCGGGCGGCGCGGCTCGGTTCGGGCGGCTCGGTTCGGGTGGCTCGGGTCGGTTAGGGCTGGCGGCTCGGGTCGGGCGGCTCGGTTCCCTTAGGGCTGGGCGGCTCGGGTCGGCTTGGTTCGGGGTGTTCGGTCTGGGTGGGGCCGTTCGGGGGCGCTAAGGGTGAGCGCGGGGAGCGGGTGGGGCCGTGAGGGACGAGCGCGGGGCCGACGTGGACCTCTAGGGGTAAGCGCGGGGCCGATTCGGGGCCTCTAAAAGCGAGCGCGGGGCCGACCGAGGCCTCTAGGTGCGAGAGCGCGGCGTCGAACGGGGCCTCTAGGGGCGTGAAAGCCGAGGCGCCCTAGGGCGCAGGTAGGTAGGTAGGTAGTGGTGGGCCCTAAAAAAATCGGTCCTAGGAAGGACCTGCTCTATACCATGTTGAACAATAATGAATGAACTAAGAATGAAATGAGTACAAGTATCAAAACCTAGGAATGTGTACCCCCTATAGGCTAACCCATTGTAGCCTAAACAACTACAACAACATATATAATGTTTGACAGGGGGTGGTGTCAGGCATATATGCTATAGTCTGTATAGGCTAGTAGTGGGGCAGTTCATATGGGGTACAACACTTTAGGGTTTACTACTTGTACTCCTCATTCTGCTCAATGCATCCATTCCTCGTTTCTTATCATGGTATCGAGCAAGTTCCCTAGTGGGAACGCTACCTAGGGCCCACCACGATATTTTTTCCTGCCCGGAGCGCGCTTCACTCCTGCCCTAGTCGCGCTCTGTGTGCTCTCCCTACCTTCGAGCCGCCCTTAGTGGCCCCTCTCACGGCCCCTTTGGCCGCCCTCTACGGCCCCTCGCGCCGCCCTTACGGCCCCTTACGGCCCCTCGCGCTGCCCTTACGGCCCCTCACGCTGCCCTTACGGCCCTCGCGCGGTCCCCCTTTCAGCCCCTCGCGGCGCCCTTTCCGGCCCCTTACGGCCCCGTCGCCGCCCCGTTTAGGCCCCTTGCGGCCCCTCTTCAGCCCCATCTAGGCCCCTTGCGGCCCCTCTGTGGCCCCGTCTAGGCCCCTTGCGGCCCCTCTGCGACCCCTCTGAGACCCCGTCGCTGCCACCTGCAGCCCCGTCGCCGCCACCTGCGGCCCCGTCGCCGCCACCTGCGGCCCCGTCGCCGCCACCTGCGGCCCCGTCGCCGCCACCTGCGGCCCCGTCGCCGCCACCTGCGGCCCCGTCGCCGCCACCTGCAACCACGCAGCCGCCACTTGCGGCCCCGCCGCCAACTGTGGCCCCGTCGCCGCCACCTGCGGCCCCATCGCCGCCACCTGTGGCCCCGTCGCCGTCACCTGCGGCCCCGTCGCCCTCCCCTAGCGGCCCTCTCACCGCTCACCCGCCCAGCGACCGAGCCGTCGAGCAGCCCAGCAGCCGGGCCGCCCACCTGCCGAGCAGCCGAGCCGCCCAGCAGCCGAGCCGCCCAGCAGCCGCGCCTGCCCTGCAGCCGAGCCGCCCAGCAGCCGAGCCGCCCAGCAGTCGAGCCGCCGAGCCGCCGAGCCGACCACCAGCCGCGCCGCCCAGCAGCCGAGCCGCCGAGCAACCGAGCTGCCCTGCCGCCGAGCCGCCAAGCCGCCCTACTGTCGAGCCGCTGCTGTTCCTACCGGTGCGCCCCGGCCCTCCTTCCTCGGACTGGGGAGCTCACTTCCTACTAGGCCTCTGCAGTCATGGCTACCCCCAGTGTCCTTACTTTTGATGCTGAGGGCCGTGCCGTTGACTTTGAGGTCTGGGTCGATGACCTCCAGCTGTTTCTCGAGTGCGATAGGGCAGACGGACTCTCTCTGTTCGATCTCACCTCTGGTGCCTCTCCTGCCCCGCCTGCTGATGCTGACAGCACTGTTCGCTCACAGTGGGCCACACGCGATGCTGCTGCTCGCCTTGCTGTGCGTCGCCACTTACCGGCCACTGAGCCAGTACAAGAGTGCTCATGCATTGTACGACGTTGTAGTTACACGCTACTCTTCCCCTGCCACTTCTGCACTGAGCCGCCTCATGCTACCGTACCTCTTCCCTGACCTTGTTACCTTTCCCACACTCGCTGACCTCATTACGCACCTCCGCACTAGTGACACTCGCTACCGCGCTGCGCTTCCTGCTGAGTTCTATGCCAAGAACCCCCCCCCCCCATGTACATCACCCTCTACTACATAGTCACCCGGCTCCCTGACTCCCTCCGCGTAGTCAGGGATCACTTCCTCTCAGTTTGCCCCACCACTCTCACCGTTGACCTCCTTGAGAAGGCCCTCCTAGCAGCAGAGAAGAGCATAGTCGCTGTAGGAGCCTCTCGTGGTGACCCTCGCACCCCCGTCTTTGAGGGGTGTTCTCCCTCTCCCCTCTTGCCCTCTGTTGCCTCTGCTGCTGCGGCCGACGTCGTTGGTTTCGAGTCGGTCGGCGCTGCGTCTGCCCCGAACGGGAGACGCCGCACCGACAAGGGCAAGGGGGGCAAGGGCGCTGGAGGGGCTTGCGGGGGCGGTGAAGGTGGTGGTGGAGGCAGTGGAGGGGGTGGGGGTGGTGGTTGGAGTGGTGGCGGGGGTGGAGGTGTTGGTGGCAGCAGTGGAGGCGGAGGAGGCGGCGGCGATGGCGGAGGGAGCGGAGGCGGTGGAGGTGGTGGAGGCGGCGGAGGCGGCGGAGGTGGCGGAGGCGGCGGCGGCAGCAGTGGACCTGGTCGCAGCTCTGCGCAGAGGAGTGGCTCCGGTGGAGGTACGCGCCAGCAGCAGCAGTGCAGTCGTGAGACCCTCTCCCCTCAACAGCTTCGTGAGTGGTCCGCTGCGCGTCAGCGCGGTGGGGGTACGGGTCCCTGCACCTACGTTCTCCGCACCGGCGACCGCGCTGGTGAGCAGTGCGGGGGGCCGCACTCCACCCAGCGCTGCTTCGGCCGCCTGACGGACGCGTGGCATCACCAGTTCCCTGAGGCCTCTGAGATCCCTCGCTGGGGAGAGCTGTCTAGGGCGGGGGTTGCTATCTTTGATCTTGACTTTAATGCTATTCTTGCTGCCATGTATGCTCTTGCTGATAGTGTTGAGGGTGACTGTTACCTGTGTGTTCCGCCTGACCCAAGCATTGAGACTACTGCTCTAGGTGCTGGTGTCTAACACACCTTCACCCTTGACTCGGGTGCTTCCCGCTCCTTCTTTCGAGACCGCACCACACTTACGCCGCTTAGTCGGCCGGTTGCGGTCTCCCTGGTGGACCCCTCTGGGGGTCTTGTCCTTGCTCGCTTCTCCACTCTCTTACCGTGTCCGACAGCCCCCTCTGGCACCCTGTCAGGTCTCTACCTCCCCTCGTTCTCTACGAACTTGGTGAGTGGAGCTGATCTATAGGATAGGGGGGTTGACCAGTTCACTCCTGCGAGACAGCGAGGTGACCCACTGCACGTGTGCTCGGACAGGCCGACACTTGGCCACGTTCACCCGTCGGCCGGGGTCGAGCCTGTACACCCTCACTACTGAGTCTCCTCCGGCTGCTGAGCCTGGTCAGGTCGCTGTGTCGAGTCAGGTGTTTGCTGCAGCGTCCAGGTCTAGTCCTGAGTCTGCTCCCTGCTCGTGTCGTCTCCTGTCTCACCAGACTCTCCTTTGGCACCACCGCCTTGGTCACCCCTCTCTGCCTCGTCTCCGAGGAATGGCCTCCCGTGTCCTTGTCTCTGGTCTCCCCCGGTCTCTCCCTCCTCTACCTCCGGGGCCCTGCCCCTACCTGCGTCCCTGCGTCGAGGGGCGATAGCGCGCCGCCCCTCACTCCTCCGAGTTTTCTCCTATAGAGGCTCCGTTGCAGACTCTTCACATGGACGTGTGGGGCCCCGCCCGCGTCCGTGGCCAGGGGCACGAGCGTTACTTCCTGTTGGTGGTTGACGACTACTCGCGTTACACCACGGTCTTCCCCTTGCGTATCAAGGGCGACGTCACTGAGGTGTTGATCGACTGGATCCGCGCAGCTCGTCTCCAGCTCAGAGAGAGTTTCGGCTCCGACTTTCTTGTTCTGCGTCTGCACTCTGACAGAGGCGGGGAGTTTTGCTACAAGTCCCGGAGGTGCTCGTACTCGCGGTGCTGGAGCTGCTGGGCCTCGGGGTGCTGCTGGGGCTGCTGGAGTTGGTCCTGCTGAAGCTGGTGGTGGCACTGGAGCTACTGGTCCTGCTGGAGTTGGTGCTGCTGGAGCTGGAGCTGCTGGGGGTGTTGGCGCTGTTGGTTCTGCTGGCGCTGGTGCGTCTGAGGGTGCTGGAGCTGGCGCTGTTGGAGCTGGAGGTGCTGCTGGCGCAGGTGCTACCGCTGGGGGTACTGGTGTTGTCCCTGCTGGTTCTGAAGGCGCTTGCGGCCGCGGCCGTACTTCGTTCCGCTCCTTGAGCAGGTTCTTGGTCTCCCGCCTTCTACTGGTCCTGCTCCTCCCTTAGAGTGTCCACAGCTTGTCCAGTCGCAGTCCCAGTTATAGCCCGCCTCCCCTCTACCTGCTCCTTCTCCCTACACAGGTCCTACTAGAGGTCTTGCTGAGCGTCGTGAGCCTGCCTCTCGTCCTGCGTCGCCTGTTCGCACTGCTCGCACTAGTCGTTGAGTTCCACGTCCGCGTCCTCCTGCTGTTCCGGGCACACACCAGATGGCACTGCGTCCTTCCACTGCTCCCCTTCGTGTCCCGTTGCCGTCTCCTCCAGAGTCCTCTCTTCCTGTCCTTCCTGACCCTGAGTCTGACTCTCTTCGTGCTGCCAGTCCTACTGTCACGCGTCTCCTGGCCACTGTTGTCACTGACCCTTCCTTTGAGTCCACTGCTGCGTTTGCCTTAGTGGCTGAGCTTGTCGACTTCGCTGCTTCGCTGTCGTCTAGACTACGCCACTAGTCTTGTTGCTGAGTCTGAGTCTGTTTGTCCTTTGTCCGTCGAGGGTGGGTGTGCTCTTAGCACGGACGTCCTTCAGGACAGGCAGGAGGAGTTCCAGCGTTTTGCTGCTCCTTTGCCTCATCTTGTGTCCACGCTGATTGCACCTAAGGGAGACCCGGATGCACCAGACATCCCGACTCCTCGATCGTACGCTAAGGCGATCGAGGGTCCCTACTCCTCTTAGTGGCAGTCAGCCATGGACGCAGAGATGGCTTCCTGGAAGTCCACAGGCACCTACGTCGACGAGGATTCCCCCGCCTTGGGCGAACATCGTCAGTGGCATGTGGATTTTCAGGGTGAAGCGGCCGCCGGGTTCTCCGCCTGTCTTCAAGGCGCGTTACGTGGCTCGAGGCTTCAGTCAGCGGCAGGGAGTTGACTACTTTCAGACCTTCTCTCCCACCTTGAAGATGACCACTCTTCGGGTGCTGCTGCACATAGCCGCTCAGCGCGACTACGAGCTTCACTCTCTTGACTTCAGCACTGCTTTCCTGCAGGGCAGCCTGCACGAGGAGATCTTACTGCGCCGCCCACCTGGCTTCATTGGGTCGTTTCCTCCTGGTACCTAGTGGAGCCTCCGGCGGCCAGTCTACGGTCTCCGCCAGGCGCCCCGTGAGTGGCACGACACACTGAGGACTACACTTGCGGCTCTTGGGTTTGCTCCTTCTACAGCCGACCCGTCGCTGTTTCTGCGCACCGACACCTCTTTGCCGCCCGTTCTACATCCTCGTGTACGTCGACGACTTGGTCTTTGCCACTGCTGACACTGCTGGACTCGCCCACGTGAAGTCCGAGCTGCAGAAGAGACACACGTGCACAGACCTGGGTGAACTACGCAGTTACCTTGGCTTGCATATCACCCGGGACAGAGCACAGCGCACCATTACCCTGACTCAGTCACACATGGTGCAGCAGGTCCTTCAGCGCTTCGGCTTCACGTACTCCTTGCCTCAGGCCACTCCTCTGTCTACTCGCCACTCGCTCTCAGCTCTGCCTTCGGATGAGTCCGTAGAGCCGAGTGGCCCGTACCCAGAGCTTGTTGGCTGCCTCATGTACCTGATGAACGACCTGACCTTGCATACCCTCTTAGCATCTTGGCACGCTATGTTGCTCCTGGGAGAGACCGACCAGAGCACATGGCTGCAGCCAAGAGGGTGTTGCGCTACGTGTGCAGTACGTCGGGCATGGGGCTAGTGCTTGGAGGGCGACGTCGAGTGGTCCTCACAGGTCACGGCTGACGCTTCTTGGGCTGACGACCAGCCGGCACAGTGGTCGTCACAGGGTTACACCTTCAGCCTTGGCTCCGGCTCTGTTTTGTGGCGGTCTACCCGCTCGTCTTCTGTTCTCACCTCCAGCTGTAAGGCTGAGATCTACGCGGGGGCCATGGCTGCAGAGGAGCTACGCTGGCTCACCTACCTGCTGACTGACCTAGGAGGGCCGCCTCGTTCTCCTCTAGTTCTGTACGTAGACAACAAGGCCATGCTGGCCTTGTGTCGGGAGCACAGACTGGAGCACAGAACGAAGCACATTGCTCTTCGCTACTTCCTGGCTCGTGAGCTGCAGCAGCGTGGTCAGCTCCGCCTCACCTACGTGGCCTCTGAGGCCAACACTGCTGATATCTTTACCAAGGCCCTTCTGCCTTGTGATCATCAGCGCTTCTGTGCTATGCTAGGTCTTGTGCCTACTTGGCCTCACTTGCTCACTTCTTGACCTTGTTTGTACTGTACTCTTTCTATACCTGCACTTACTTGTTTACCTTTATATATATGATCTTGCATTTGAACTGGCCTTGTGGCCTTGCTCTTGTGCTTGGACTGTGTGGTGACGTTGTGATCCACCCTGAGCTTGCGTTGCTTTGCTTGACTGGTCTTGTGACCCCTTGTTCTCCCCCACTTTGCCTATGGGGGTGTGTCAGGCATACATGCTATAGTCTGTGTAGGCTGTAGTGGGGCAGTTCATATGGGGTACATTACTTTAGGGTTTACAACTTGTACTCCTCATTCTTCTCAATGCTTCCATTCCTCGTTTCTTATCAGGTGCATCGGTAGATGGAGAAACCCGGGTCTGCGTTGACGAGGAGCCATAGGTGGCCTTCAGACCTTCAGCGATATGGATTCGTAGAAGATGGCTTCGACCGTCGTGACAACCTTGTTGTCATTCATGTCAAGCACTTCTCAGCCCTTGCTCTCCAGCGACACCCCGAGATGAAGCCCCCAACGGGCCTTCGGAGCCAGCTTTCCACCACGCTGCTGCTCGGGGACCATGAAATACACCATGGAGCTCCACATGCGTGCTTGCGTGAGGTCCGGTTTCTCCTCAAAGAGAAGCTGGTGCGGAGTCGTCCCTCAAAGGCAGTGAAGCCCGTTCGAGGCAGTTGCGCACCCGGATCGCCTGCCGTAGAGCAAGGTGCCACCAGTGGTGCTTCACACCCATGTGAAGTAGCATCGTGCGCACGGCCTCGACCACCGTACGTGTCTCCTGTTCCGCCATGCCGTTTTGCTGCGGGGTGTAGGGACAAGTCAGGTTGTGGAGGATGCCATTCTTCTCAACGAGGTTGGTGAAGGGGCGATAGAGGAACTCCCCTCCGCGGTCCGAGTGCAACATCTTCACCGTCTTCGAGGTCTGTCGCTGTACCAACTTCAGCCACTTCTCAAACAACAGTAGCACATTGCTTTTCTTGGCAATCGGTCGAACCCACACGTAACGGGTCTTCTTGTCCTTAAGCAGGAGAAAGTAGAGGCTGCCATCAGTGGCAGTCACAAGGAATGGCCCGCAGAGGTCGATGTGCACCACATCGAGCGCGCTCTTGTCTTCGGAACCCTTGTCGAGGAAGGTGTGCCGCGCTAGCTTGCTGCCAACGCATGAGGCACATGGCGGATCAAACCCGGTTGATTTCTTGATGTACAGACCAGTAGCTACCTCATGCTTTGCCAAACTCCGGATGGTGTCAACGCCGACGTAGGCAAGTCCAGCATGCCACTTGTCTGGGGTCGACGTCGTCGCCGAGGCGATCGTCCGCAGTGCCACTGTCTTTGTTGCTGTTGAAGTCGTTGACTTTGTCGAGCAGGGGCGAAGGTCGGTGCAGAGGTCCCGGCCGGTGTAGTGCACACGACTGAGCACATCTCCCTACACTGGCACCAACAGCATTTCGTCGCCGTCGTCCTTCAGCTTCACGCCATGGTCCTTCAGGTGGCCAGCAGACAGCAGGTTTGCTTGTACGCCCAGCACGTAGAGAACG